GACTCTATAATCTTCTTATTTGCTTTTTTACAGTAAAATTGTCCATTGAGCAGAATATAATTTCTATATGAAAAAATAACTTATCTCTTAACCGTTTCAAAAACTTGGTCAATGTCGCGACAAGGAAGTATAGACATCCTATAAGATATATTATTAATTACAATCTATCTTGGAAAAGTGAAAATAAATATCAGTCGTTCAAGTTTCTAGTGCAAGCCTTCGTTTTAATTTTGTGAATTTTGTATTCGAGAAGAAGAGATTGTTTTTGCACACGTCTCAATAACAAATAAGGTAAAGGCTAAATCACAGACGTAGAACAATGCAATGTCCAGAAGAATGTGTCCTAAGCTCCTTCGAAGTGCTTTGCCCAAAGTTTCGTATCAAAGGAGATTACTTTCGATAGAAGATGGAATTTGAAAATTGAATAAGTATCATTTTTTCAATATTCTTAATTAATTTTTTTTTCTTCCGTTAAGAGTAATAGGGCTATGCGAAAAGATCTAAAAAAAGGAATATAAATGATTTATATACGGCGATACGATATTTTTTCGAAATTCATTTCGAAAATATGATTGATATAAAAGGAATTCATCGAGAGAGAGAGAGAGAGCGTTTCGTAATCTACTATATTTTTATTTAAATATTTAAAGCTTTGTTACGGGCAAAAATTTATTATCAAGCCTTGAAGACAATTTATTTGAAAATAACATCAACTGTAACATTTGAAGGAAATGTGTCACTTTTATGCCTAACAACACGAGTGCTGATATAAACAAAAAATATATATATGTATCTACCTATGTATTAAAAACGCTAAAATATACAAAAATGAGTGTCAGTGTCAGACGTTAATGCAATAAATTTCTTTTTATGTATTGTGTCAACAGGTTTACTAAAAAACCTCTTGTCTAAGTATGCGTCGGTAACAGAACAATGAGCTAATTATTGCTTTCATCACAGACGTTACTATTAATTTTTTCCTTCTTTCTCATCACTTGCTCTACGGAAACATAAACACATTCGCACACACACACACACACACAACTTCCGTTTAACATAATTACAGGGGTTTGAACACGCAACGATTAAGGTGGCGTGGTAAATAAAATCGAATTCTTTACTAAAAAGTCGACGGACCCTTGGGGCAAAAGAGATATATTTTTTTGTTTTGCCTTAAATAAAATTTATTTATTTTTTTTTTTTTACATTTTTATTATATTTTGTGAAATATTTTAAAAACACCGCAAATCGTTTTTTTTTTGTTTGTTTTTTTTTGTATGTGTTGGTATTTTTAATCTTTTATTTATTTTTTATTTTTTAAATTCACACCAACACACAATTTTTGTGAACTGATCAGAAATGAAATGATCTGCTTGAAATTTCTTGCTTTTCTTTCTTTAATCACACAAATGCGCACAGAAAATAAGACGGAGTGAACATACATATAAACATGTCGTACAATACAGTCTTGTAAGGTCTATTTTTAACAACAATTGTAGGTGGCAGCAGCAACAAATAATATATGCAACGAAATAACTGAGCCGAAGCATAGTCATATTAAATAGCTATATATATAGGTTCGTGTGAGTGTAAATCAAAATCATTTTAAATACTTATTAATTAATTAATAAAGAAAAAATGTATATTTACACTCTCTATTCACCATTGGTGACACAGAGTGTATTTACTTTCTCTTATTCTTGTACAAAATTTGCATTTGTCCATCCGTTCGTTCGACTATACGTAAAGTCATTTATTTCCAAGTTTGTTACAGGAAAGTTAACAGCGCAAAGACTTCATCGAAAACCAAAAGCAAATTGCTTCGGAGAATCGAAAAAGTGATTGCAATGATTGACTAACTAACTGCAATTAGCATTTACGTCCCTTAACGCGTGCCTTTATGGTAGTCACAGCTTTTTTAATGCAAACATTTGTTAGCTCGATATTCCCACTCCCTGAGCTATGAGTGTCCGCTTGTCCGCGATTTTAGTCCATTTTTTTCATTTTTGGGAGAAATGTAAAGTGCATTCTTATCCCTTCTTAGACGAGATAAAGCGATTTTCACCTGAAGAGAAAACGCAACAGAATATCAGGTCATTCGGAAGCCATATACAATTCGCTAGACTAATTTTAATCCTAGAACTACCGACTATGTCATTTTGATGCTCTTGAATTTTCGATTTTCAGCGAAATGATCATACGACAGACAATGTTGCAATATTTTTTGTTTACTATTACTGATATGACAAGTCCTTCATATGTCGACTTGTTCTAATTTTGAAAGCATCGCTAACATAGACCTATTTTTATAAAAAGGGATAATTTTGAACCCCGTTTTTTGTGAAGTCGCCACATTGAGAAACCGATCGATCAAGCAGGTGTTTCTTGCGAACATTATGGTAGCAATTTTGCCGTGCTTTATCGAGGTTAGTTCAGTTTCTCCTCCATTGCGGGCGTGCACATTAATCTCTAATCATTTTTGAGCTGCGGATTTCTAATCGATCGGGAAATGTTTGTGCCAAACTTTAGCTCCTTATCTCCATTTTTACGACTTTAGCGATTTCACGAAAGAAAGCCGTTCAAAATGATCCCTTTTGATAGAAACAGATACAACGCCGATAGTTCTAGTATTGAGGAGTTTTGATGAATGTCGTAGGCTACGAATTTTTCCAATAGCTTGCGAACTCAAACGTCACTTTCAAATTCGACCCAGCTTAATGAAAACAATTTAGGCTTTAGAGATCGAAGTAGCAAATATGTTCAGAGTTATTGATAGAAAAGATTACTTTAAGCCTTTACGGTTTTTATTTTCAATAGCGTTCGCCCTTTGGCCAAAGTAAATCAGCGGGCCGAACTTCATCATAATATCTCAAATATTTTGACGTGTGGAGTAGATGAGCAGACATCAGACGGACAGGCAAGCTTAGAAAATGATACTCAATCGGTCGACATAATAATAAGTGATGTATGGCATAACAAGGCAGGCTGTAATTGGTTTTGTTATAACGATCGATTGGAAATTTGATCTTGTCTTGTTTCCTTGCATTCAACTTGCAGGGAATAATTTTTTAAAAGTTTGGATTGAATTTGATGCACTGATCTCGAACACTTCCCAGCGACCACCTACAAACGTGTTTGGTAATTCTACACTCACTGTAGGAGATCCCGCCAGATGAACATGTGTTCGATGAGTTTGGGATTCTAATTCAAATCAACTATGTCCCTCCTAAGACTAAAGAAAGAACATCTGGCACTTTTACGCGTGCAAAAACACATTCGTCTCGGTGTAATAGGAACGGTTTTAAAAGAGCTGTCTTTCTCGTTTCGGTCGCCCATGTCAACTCAGTTGTCGAGCATTTCGTTAGAGCTAAACTTATTCAAATGCCTAAGCGTTGGCAAGTGATGAATGTTTAACTCATGGCTGCCGCTCGCCTTCTGGCTGCAGTTTCCTTAATTAATGATCTTAGAGTTACGGTTGGAAAGGAAACGTCATTTTAATCGATACATACATTCATACAAATTACACATAAATGGAATGCGTATGATATAAGTTCTTGTTTCTATATAGTTCGGTTAGGTTATGCGGAATCGGTTTGCTTGGTAAATGGGGGAAAAAGTTGAAATTGGAAAATTTCCCAACTCAACAAAGGGTGTAATTCTGTAAACTGTCTTGGATAAATAGCGTTTGAAAGAAAAGATTTTGATTAAAAAAGTCCATTCACTCTGATCTTGCGAAAAATTCTTTGGGCAAAAGGAAGTTCAAGCTTCAGCCTGACCTGTTGATTGAAAAAATATGAAGACTTTAGCCCATCTGACAATGCTTCATCATACCGATACATTTAATTTATGCCGATTGCGACTGGAAAAACAAACAGTTGAAAGGCTGCGCGTCTTATTACAATTTAGATAAAAAAAAAAAAATAAATAAAAAAAACAGAAAACGTGCCTGTCATTTAAACGAAGAAACAAATGGAAGGTCTTGCAGAAGAGAATTTAAATTACAATTAATTTAATTTTATAAAAACTTGTCACACTATTTGATAAATTTATTATTATACGCAAAGCTGTTGTATCTCTTCTGCATCTTCCTTATGCGGATAGGATGGCGTTATGTGGCGAGTAAGAACAAATGTGAATTTTTTTCTTATAATGAGATTTACATGTGCATATGAGTACACACATATATATGAGTAGGTATTTTTGCACATATTCTCTTCTATAAATGATGAATCTGGCCTGTAGCCCAGACGCTTCAATATATTTAATGGGAGATGTACAATCGCATATGTATGCATAAATGTCGAAAATTAGATATTTTTTTTTTTTGTTTCTGCTCAAGTAAACACTTTAAAATAAATGCATTCTTATATACATATATTAACTGATCGACTAAATAAATATATGTATATATTAGAAGGTATATATTATATACGCGTTTGTAAGAGATTGGCATGTTTACGATCTTCATTTGTATGCTATTTGTTGTCGTTGAAAGACTGCTAAAAATATTTCATTTCTGTTTTGTTTTTCTTTTGTGTTTATTTATTTTTTTTATTTTTTTTTGTTTTTTATAATTTTTTTAATTTCAATTTCAATTCGCTGCGGTCTTTCAATTTATACTTTTTGTGTTCTATACTGAGTACCGCACGTACGGTGGTTGTAAATATGGTCGTTAATGTTTCTGGGGTATTGGCTTTAAAGGGTAAACAAATTTCAAAGCAATAAATTATAGGGGTAAAGGGTGAGAGAGAAAACAAAGAAGGGGAGAGAGTACTTGATAGAAAGAGAAAAGCATGCATACAATGAAATATCAAGAGTTTAGTAATACAATAATAAACTATTAGGGGCAGAGGAGGCACTTTTTTTTCTACGAGTGCTATAGAATAAGTCATTTTTTGGTTAAAAAGGGATTACGATTGTTCAGAGAGATGGTAACAGTGCCGGATTTTTGTTGAAAGGATGGGGGTTTTCACAAACACTTATTTGTGCTGTAAACTTACCCATTACCCTAGGTGGACACGTGGCATGATCAGGACCTGCGATCGATTCGAGATAGAAGTTTCTTTGAATCATTAATTCAATCTTTAAACAAACGACAACAATAATATTCTTCACACACATTCACACATTGTGGTTTTGGTTTTCTTTTCTTTTTCGTTTTATACAAAATTTTTAACTTCCATTCATTTTCACTTGGAAAAGAAAACTCGGTAATTTTTTTTTTTCTTTTTTTTTTTTTTTTTTGGTTTTATGCTTTCTGAGGTTAGCCACAAGATTTTCTCTCTAACAGAAAATTGCTATTCTAAGCATTTTTAGTCACTTTTTGCTCTATTGCTAAAAAAACTAAAAACACATATTCTAAAAAAGGCTTTCGTAAGAAAAAAAAAAAAAAACAAATAAAAAAAAAAAAAAAGAAAACAAACTGCAACTGCTTTAAAATTATATACATACACTTTAAACAAAATTACAAAAAATATTATTATATAAATCTATATTTTTACATAAGTTTTTTTAATTAAAAATAGAAAGTGAAAAGTATTCAAGTCTCGTTTTTAAATTATTTCTTACTTACAGAACAAGACGGCCACGAAATCGGTGTCTTCGATGATTTTCAATAAGATTTTCGCATTGACTTCTTCAATGCGATCGGGCAGATCCATAGCCTCTAGTGAGGTTAAAAAATCTAAAACGCCTTCTTCGTCCATAAGATCGCCATCGTAAATAATGGGCTCTTTCTCTCTGTTAGCGGCAAGAAGAAGAGAGTTGACGGTAAGTTTGCTTTTTTTAGTTCTTCTTATTTTGGTTTTTTTTTTCCCCCCTCCCCACATATATAGTGAGTTGGTTAGCAAACTACTCTGAGAAAAATTACCTGAAATACGTTAAGGCTGGGAAATTTTTAATTCCGTATTGCTTGGCTAGACGTTTATCGTTGATTTTAACAAAATCCACACCGAACGAATCGGTGTCATCGTCGATTTTTTCGAGTTCGGCCAACACTTTATCACAAGTAACGCAGCTGCGAGCATCTGTAGCAAAGCAAAAAGACAACATAAAATTAATAAAATTTGAGTAAATTTAAAAAAAAATGAAAAAATAATAAATAGATTTTTATAAATTACTTGAAAGTTTATTTGTCTTATAGAAGAATTTTAAAATAGAATCACGAAAAGGTTTTTCTCAATTCTAGGGAGAATCTTTAGTATTCGCGTCATTACGTTAGAGTAGCATATATTTCATGAGGAGCGATCGGGCCTTCTGGGTGAACGGGTGTTTTTTTTTTATTTGCATTCAAACATGTGTCGAGAAGCGTCGGCACTACGTTTTAGATGAACATCGCTCGTTGTTTATGGATACCAATGCTTTGTCTATTGCAGTGCGTTTATAAGCGGATCACGCGTTTTCTCTTATATTACAAAGATTAAGATAGATTCATTATAAACATGTTCCCTCATTTCGGTGACGGTTGAAAGAACATTTTCGCTTGGTTAATTGCAACCATGTCGAAATAATACTTTAAAGGTTACTTTACTAAGCTTTTTTTCTAGACTGTAAGAAACATCTGTTCCGTTAATCTATACTTTGCTGCTGCAGTGGGCGGGTTTTTGGATAAATTGTTTCTTTGTAAACGCGGTCGCGAAGTTTCAGTTTTTAGCTTGAACTTTTGCTAAGATGTTCTCATCGTTAGAAAAATAAAAATGTAAGCTCTTTACAGGGCGTGTGTTATCTCTACAATTATTTTGTTAGAGTATGACACGAACCTTAAATTAGAGGAGGCGAATAGCAAACATTATTGTTATTGTATGTACCAGAACAAGTGCGTTGTAGTACTTTTGCCAGTATTAATATCACTCCTAAACCCTGGCGAAGCAACCAATCTAACATTCCTTCCTAGTAAACGAGTTTTAACCCTAAGCCGTTTTCGTCAGGTCGGAACAATTAAAAGATTTATTTGTTTTGAGTGTTAATTTGTAAAAACAGAAACTCTTTGTGCTTTGGTTTTCGTGTCAGCAATTTTTCCTTCATTCATCAGAATTCATTAGAATACACACCTGTGTAAGGCAAATATTTGGTTTTAATTATAACAATTCTTTTATGACACACACAGACTTGACTGACGGGCTTGAGAAATGTTTTAAGTCTAGTAATAGCATTCCGGATGATTTATTGAGGCAAAAGCACTCGTTGTGTACGAACTATGTGATTATGGAAGACCCCTTAGCAGGACTGCACTAGTCGAAACTGTGTTCGTTCGATGTAACTGTTACTTGTTTCCAAAGCAAAGTGTACCACTTCAAGTAAAACACTTCAAATCAGTAATCACAGCAAAAAAAGAACACGGTCTGGAAGAGCTAACGGCTCAACCACCATAAAAAAATTGAAATATTGAAAGTGTATCTTGACCTTGCGAGGAAAAAAAATCATGCCATGGCCTTTATTTGCAAGTATTAGTTTTTAATACATAGTTCGACAATAGTAAGCTCATATAAAAACGGTATAATTTTTGTGTTTCATGGCAAACATAAGAATTGTGTTTGTGTGGGGTACTAAATAGTCGGCCTGGCGCGAATCTAATATTTTCATTTGTTTTATTTGCTGTTGCCGTAATTTTAAATCAATTTAATCATTTCGGTTAGAGGATTAGTAAAACACCTGTAATTGAAATATCCTAATTATGAGCAGAATGTCCACGGGGCGAATGCTCCAATTAATAAAATGAAAATTTCAATTATCTGTTTCGCCAGACGCAACGTGGTGTTTATAATGTGTACATCGAAAATCGTTGGGCTTTGGGTATTTCCAGCAAAACCGAAACCCTTTTGTACCCTACGTCATTTGTGGTGCAAGAATATATCGAAACTGTGCTGATGTATGCAAAACCCAGAAGGAGTGATAGACCCATCTTTCATTCATTCATTCATTCATTCGCATCCATTCAAAATCACTTTTTGAATCGATATAACCTTGTCTCTCCTTCTGTCCCTCCGTCTATCTTGTTTTCGAGTGTTCAAACTAAAGATCGTAATTTTTGAGATACTTTGATGATATTTGATACACCAACGTGTTTTGACCCGCTATTGAAAATGGTTCGGTTCTTTTTACTCTTTCAATCACTTCCCATATGAAGTCTAATTTTGAATAGTCGCTATATGAATAGGTGGTAGGTGTTGTAGGATGCTTATTGGTAAGCTGCGCGCCATGTTTTCGCTAGTTTTTTCTACAAGTAATGACGTAGTGTCCAGAGAAAGCGGTGTTAAATTTCAGAAATTTTGACATCCTACGATATTAAATATGAGAACAGGCGCCAAACTCAAGAGATTAACAGTAATATCAAATCTTAAGTTTATCAAGAAAATTAAAGCTCCAAGGTAGATCTAGAACATACTCCTATGAGTTTAATTTAAAAAACTTTTAAGAGCAAATCCACTATTTACAGAGAATTAAAATTTTTTATTTTTATAGGAATTTTCGGAATTTTCGCAAGTCTATCAAAATTCACGAGTAAATATTTGTCTTAACGGAATTTTCAGAATCGAACATAATTAATTCCCGAAGGTAACCGAAAATTCTGTGGCTATTTCATGTTATTAAAAATCTCTAGGTGTTATGCCACATTATGTAGAGTTTCGCTCACGACATTCCAACGTCGTGATTAGCATCTTCTAGGATCTGACAGAAGAGGAGCTTATAAGATATTTTCGCTGATGAAGAGCACATAAGCTTTGCAGATTTTGAAATGCTGCTGAAGGCTATGAAGGCCATTTGATTTCTTTTATATGATTATAAAGCAATCGCGATAGATCCCACTACGCTCCGAGAATAAAAATAATCAATTAATTGTGCATATGTAATCTGTCGATTCCGATTTAAATGCTCATACTTACACCAACTTACAGTCCTAGATTTATCCAATTTCGTTTAATTTAATTAAAATTATAAAATTAATTCCTATTAAAATGTGATTTTTTTTATGAAATTCACATATTGACAAACATTTCATATACGTTCGTCATGCATATAAAACAAACGGTATTTCCTTAGCAGCCCGTATATGTCGTATACTATATGTGCATAGACACCGCAACAGGCGTAGTGAGCAACATTTCCCTAAAAGCTATTAAATGCATATTTAATTGAAAAATAAATGAAATTAAAAGCAAAAATGATAACATTTTATATAAAAAATATGAAAGAGATATAAAGTCTATCTCTCGCACACGTACCCATCTATCTATCTGTATATAACAAACATTGTTGTACGTACGTCTATATTTACATTAAGTTTACAAAATGCTCGTTTACTTGTGTTGGAATATAATAAGGTGGTAACATATGCTTGGGTGCACGTACCGTAGAAATATATGCACATATATGTTTGCATATACAAATATATCAATCCTGTTATGCATGTGTGTGCGGGTGTGTATTTGTATGTTGTATTACACATATATATATATATATACCTAACCTTACATAGTTGCTCCTAAGTTTTTATGAATTAAATCAACAAGTATTTCGAGCAGTTTTGTAATTAAAATTAATTTTCGACTCATACATCAAATTCTTTTTATTATTTTTGTTTTTTTTTTTTTGTTTTTAAAATGCAATAAAATTAAATAATAAAGTGAAAAATGCAGAATAAGTACATAGGCATGAAAAAAAATTAACAAAATTAAAGAAATTTTATTATAGCATTAACCAGATTCATTGAATGATTTCTCAAGAATTCATTCAATTTGCATGCATAATAGACCAGAAGCGGCAAAAGAGATCAATAATCGTAATCGTCTCCACAAAAATGAAATGATGTCACGAATATGACTTGAAAGGACTGCGGCATGTTGTCTAAAATTTTATTCTTGCCTAAATCGGTTTTCCGCCTCACCACCTCGGTTAAAAAATCAAAGGGAAGAATTAAAAGAAACCATTAGCAGACCATCACGCAAATTGCAACTTGACTACAGTGGATATATTTACCACATAATGGCTCATTAAGGAATTCTAAAATTTATTTAATGTTTCTTTTTCATCTTTTCGAAATATTAAGCTGTTCAGCCAAATTGAATTTTTCATTTTCAGTTCAATTAGTCTTGGAAGTTAGTGATTGCGGACATACAGGTTACTGTGCATATCTAAAAGTCATCATTATAAGTTACACCGCTTGTGGTGCAGGAGTTTGCGCGGACGTGTGCAACACGCAGAAGGGCTTAAGACATATCCACCCTTTAGTGTGCCACATTCTAATCCTGTACGTCCGTCCGTCTGATGTCTCTTCATGTATTTTTGAAATATTTTGATAAAAAATTTGGCACACAAGGACATACGGCCCGGATCAGTTCACTTTTTCTTATTTTCAAAAGTCGTTGTATAAAGAAAAATAGCAATTTCCACGTTCGAAATAGGTATGAAAGTTTCGGTTCGGCTGAGGTAATTTGTTTTAAAACCCTCTCATGTAAACGTTCCTACGAAAACGGAATATTGATTTGGTAAAAAGGTGTAATTTTCAGCACTTTATGGTAAAAATTACTTCACAATAGTAAATTGATAAACAAATCAATCTTACCGGGATTCTTAGGAAACGTAAGACCTCATATGCCGAAAAGGCCCAATTGATAATGTTTTATGACGTAGGTTTGCTCATGATAGTAATTTGACATAAAAATTAAGTGGGTCAAATGTGAACCGCATGGGCCTTTCTCTTGGACCCCAGTGCATACAAAATGTTTCATAATTAATTCAACTTTTAAATTATTTATGAATATTGATGTATAGTAAGTAGCAAGTTAGCAGAAACATGACTGTACAGAATTTGGATTACGAAGGCCTATATTTTAGATCCTATACATTTAGATCCTATAACATCTATAACGGTTATCATGGAAAGATGCCTCTTTAGGAGGCAAATTAAGTTTGCTTAATTTGGAGCACGTTATGTGATGCTGTAGCCATCCAATACAACAAACAAACAATTTGTCATTTTCGGAGGAGTGATACCAAAAGGAGTGAGTGGTGGTCTAGGATGTCTAACGGTCGACCTTGCCCGACTATAATATTCTTAAATGTTTTGATACGATTTAGCTACGTTACTTTATACTGGCGAAACAAAAAGGGGTGTAAGGCTTCATAAAATGTGGCAAGAATAATTATAAAAATAATGATAAAAATGATTTGAAAAGTTCGCGCGTAACTATGGAAATACCTATTGGAATAATTTTTAATGAAATATGTATTCAAATATTGGAAGCAATAATTTTACTTCCTATGCATATTTACAGAGAAACTTTTGATTTTAATTACACTCTATTTTGGGAACTTATTAATAAATGTAATTTTTGAGGTTATGATTTTTGAAGTTGTAGATTAAACCTTTAGTCCATCCATCCATCAGATTTTAAACAGAGAAGAAGAAGAAGAAACAAAGATACAGATGGATAGACTTATTCGAAGGAGAACTTTGTTACGCTAACGCTTTCCCACGGGACTACTTATCATAAGGAGTAATACAATATAATATATTGTACACAATAGATCTTATAGGTAGCGGTCCAGGTTACGCACATAATGATAATAAATATAATTTGCTTATTTTTTGAATGGATAGTTGAGAGAGTTTATCATATTTTAAAAGTTCATGCTGGTGACTTTTGCGATAAACAATAGGCCTTTGATATGCATATACCACCTGGAAAGCAAATGAAATTCTGCAAATTGCTTGCTCCGGCTTCATTTGGTTTGGTGGTCTTATACCGAAGAGTTCGCATCTACCAGAGACGTTCGAACTTGTCAAGCAAACAATGATGTTAGAAAGGATATCAGGTTTTGTTTAAACTGACCATACCTCCGCCTAATTAGGTGACGTCTTTTCAAAGCCATTTTCGTTCACAAACTAATTTTCGAAGGAGGAAAGTAAACACTTTTTAGGTAAGGAACATTAGCGACAGGCCAACTTCCTTATTACACCCGACTGGAGTTCACTAGTTGGCCCACTAGCTCATGATACCCACAATAGGGTACGAACAGATTTGAGAAAAAGACGTAAATTATCAATTCTTGGCAAAGGTCACGGTTCTAATATTGTTGACATTCAAGGCGAACCTGATGAAATTGATAATAAAAGCTAGGGCGAACTGCTAAAGACAAATTGTGTGAGTCACAATTTTGAGATCATAATTCCGACTGCGCGAAACGAACGAATGAAACTCCCAAAAAAAAAAAACGGTAGAAATGGCTGAGCTGACTCCGTTATTAGCGCTTATTAATAATATGCTCATTTTCTAGGAATGTCATATAATAATGCCATGGATGTAAGCATAGCACACACACATTTTCATAACAGACACATGACGACTGTTCTGCGAATAAAACTATTGTGTTGTGCATTTTTGTCTTCAAAAATTCTGGTCACCTTGGATATGTCAGTCATATATGAGGCCACTTAAGCAACAAATTTTGTGCTCTAAAAAATAGAATTAAACCTCTCCTACTTAGCAAGGCAAATCATCTTCCCTTGATTCGCTTGATTCTTAGAAGAAGAACAAGAAAAAGATGGGATATGGAGTTGGCTTTTATCAAATTTTCTGTTGACATCTGCGTTGGTTTGTAGATTCTTGAAAAAAATATTACGAAACAAATCAAGACATTACTAAAACAATTCAGAATCTTAAGCTACTACCCGCGATTTCTGTGCTTCACAATAGTCCTAGGTACAGAATGGCATGGTTAACGGGTTTTGATCCGAGAGCGTTGCTTTAGTATGGTTTAAACGCCTCTTCCAAATCCCTATTCACAAGCACATCAATGCTACTAATTGCTAGAACTTCTTATGTCCTATTATAAGATCTGCATAAGGCATTCTGATAAATTTCAGATCACTTATACTTGACTTGACTTCAGGACGAAATTTCTTTTCGATAGAAGAACACAATAGACGAAATTTTCCCATTCTTCGCACATTTTCTTCCTTTGATCAGCTAGTCAGAGGATGTCGCCTATATGTGTTGTTTTCTAGGAGAAATACACTTCAAGATTCTTTATTTACAATCAATTTGTTTAAGGGTAGGACTATTTATATTTTACTTGGGCAATACACTCGACTTCTCATCTCTAATATTCGTTTTCGACTCAAATGTTCCTGTCCGACTGAGCCTGCCTTTCGCAAATAGTCTATTTATATACATTTTTACAAGCATATTACTATTACCTAAGTTCATGGCGTCATTTTTAATCCGATAACCTATTTTTTTACTAAACGTTTTCTTCGGTCGGCAGCTGCAAAACGCGCCACGAATGTGCACTTGGGTTTTCCCTGTCTAGGAAATTTATTATTTGGAAAATCCATTAGGAATTGGAACTGAACTTGGGTTTTTCGTAGCACTATGAATAGCAAATGCCGCGTATTTTAATTTCGAGCTACGGCCATCAGATAAAGACTTTTTTGCTAAATTTTAGCATTCTATCTTAATTTTTATAGTTGGGGTTGTTTCAACAACGGATGCCGAGCAAATGGACAAGAGGCAAGTGGTAGAAGGCAGGTGGCGTATGGACGGACAGACAGAGGGGAAGGTAGGCAAATGGGTGCATTGGCAAACGCATGGCGTAGCATACATGCATGGGGCGACAGAATGACTTAAGAACTAATGAATAAACTCCCGAAATGTGGGGAAATGTGGTTTAATGTACGGGCGCGATTGCCCCGGCTCGGAAGGAAAACAGAATACACAAGTAGCAAGTAAGGATCGAATGGGGCAACGAGCCAACAGGCATACGGATTGACAGATCGACCAGAATTGAGCTCTGCTCTGCTCAACAGAAAAGTTTACTTCTTGAAGTCTATGTTGCTAAGGAAGAAAAAATCTACTATACGCTCATCATTCAAGTGTTGATAGTGGATAAAAGAACCCAATAATTCGCGCTGACTATTTTGATATTTGACGAGAGATGCCTATCGACGATAATAATAGTGACAAAATCATTTCTAATCTCAATTTATGAGTAACGTTCAACACCATTCATTCTTAAGTATGCGGCATTACCGCTCATTACCCTTAGTAATCATTTACAGTTCCCAGACTTTCTTACTTGTACGTACATTGACACACATACATGCGTCTTAGCGTACAATGTTTACATGAATATGTCAACCACATATTTTCTCAACAACTGCATTTGATATTAAAAGAAAAACAACGCCAGCATTAAAAAAAAAAAAAAAAAATGAAAAAATCAAAGAAAATATTCACGACAAAGCTCACTAACTAGCGAAAAGAAGGAATGGCAAGAAACTTCCGCTACGAATGTGTAAATATATAAGAAATCTGTGTTTCTTTCAGTTTTCTTATCTTTTCGTTTTTTCCATTCCCGTTCAACAAATATCCCATAAATTATATTTTACGCCTTTACCTTATCATTGAGGCTTTTTTTTTTTTTTTGTATTTTCATTTTTGCAATCTTCTTAACTGCACTCAGATCTTGGATTGTTGTAGATTGAGAAAGATTATCTTATCTATTGAAACTTACACCAAAACACCGCAACATAATCCTTATCGTTTAAAAGCTTTTCCAATTGCTTAGCATTAACTTCTTCGATAACGGCTTCTGGCTCAAGTGGCGGTGGAGGCGGTGCGCTGGCTGCATTATTTTGTGAACCTTTCTTATTAGCGCACTCGACTGTGTCGGGATAACTCGATAGCACAAAGAACGTCGAAACGAGGAAAGTTAAAAATTTTAAACGCGAATAATGCATTTTTGAATACAAAAACACATTCAATTCAATTTTCTTTACTATTTAGCTCGCGCGTACATACATAGGCAGATGTATTTAATGAAAATTATTCGATTTAAAAGAGCCGCAGACACGCACACGCACACTGTTTGCGAATATTGTGGGAACGCAAAGTGGCGAAAAATAAAATATTAGAAATAAAATCCGAAAGAAAAGAAACTAAAATTAGAGACAAAAAAAAAAAAGAAACAAATTAAAAAAGAAGAAAATTAAAGAAAGATACGAAGCGATAGAGAAGAACGTATGAAAATCGTTTTATGTGAGAAAAGAATTTCACTGAAATTTTTTTCTGTTTTTCGTCTTTGGCTGTAGCCAGCACAACCGTAAAAAAAAAAATTATATCATAATATTTTTTTTATTTTTTTTTTTTTTTTTAAATTTTTTTTTTTTTTTTTTTAAATGTATTTTTAAATCGTTCACTTTTTTCGTTAAGGTTGAATTTATTATAATTCCTTTTTTTTTTTAATTTAAATGTTTTTTAAAATTATGTTAAAATAAAATTTTCGATTTTTCACTTGCTTTAGAGCACTGTGTAGCTGCTTCCTTGCTGTTGTTACTGGTGTTGTATGTATGTGTATATATATATATATATATATATATATATGTATGTATATATATATATGTATGTAGATATGTATATATATAAATATATATATATATATATATTCTTTTATTTATAGAACTTGGAAAATCTCTATTAATGAATTTCCGCGGACTGCTTGAATTTCGTTTCTTTCGTTCACTTTTCTTCTTTCCTTTTATCTTGTGCCTCGCGTTACTTATTATTTTCGGTCTGTTTTTTTTTGTTCTTTTTTGTCCTACTCCGTGCAGAGGTCCGCTGGCAACTGATCTTTGAAAAGGTGAGACCACATCGGTGGCTATTCATTCAGCTTTTCAAAGCTTTTTGAGACAAAAATTTCGAACAGAAAGTTGTCTTTAGTTTGTTTTATTTTTGCTTTTTGTAATTTCTTCCAAAGCATGCGCCGATATTTCTTTTTCCAAATTTCTTAAAGAGAAGATCATTTGGAGGTGAAGGTGATCAACTTAGAGAAAATGATTTTGTTTACAAACAAAGAAACGCGTATATATACCAAAACGTTGAAATTAACAGAACAAGAATTGAGGTTAAAAAGATGCTTCAAGAAAATAGAGAAATCAACAAAATAGAGGAAATGATCAGGTTAATACGAATTTTTGATTCCTCTTACGTATACAATAAAAACGCTATCTAGATAGGTCTTCTTAGCCTGAAGACAAATGTAAAGGATCTCATATACACTCTCTCTTTCTTTCTCTATCTCTCTCTCTCTCTCTCTCTCTCTCTCTCTCTCTCTCTCTACTTATTATATATTTGCATAATAAAAATTATTTTTATTAATCTTTTAGCCTGCGAAATAAATTCTAAGACCAAAATTTTAAAGCACTAGCATCCGTTATATAGGGAGTAATCGAAATAGTGAACCGTTCCAAACGATATTCAATACCGATTACCCTAGGGTAATAGCACGTCAGTGTACCAAATTTGATCAAAATGTCTGAAAAATTGCGACTTACAGCTTGAACACAAATTTATATGTACAGACATCGGAGGGACAGACAGGATTAGATCGATACAGAATATGATTCTGAATCAATCGGCAAAACAAAAGGTGGGCCTATCGCAAGTCCATCTACTTCTACGTACGTCCGTACTAACTCTATATACTCTGTATCACAAACGGTGGAGGGTATTAAAAGCACACCCTTTCCCCCGGATTATCGAAACAATTATTCTCTACAAAATTAGTTGCGCAATGTTTTTCTTCCGCAACAATACACGCGATATAGTCCACGTTAGCGTAAATTTTGTGGGACTTTTTAGAGTCAACGGCCCTCGTAATTGCTTCTTGGACCTGTTCCATATTCTAATGAAACGTTCCCCTCAAGGAAAGTTTGTATTTTGGAAAGATACTCAGACGAAGGTAAATCAGGCGAATATTGGAAGTCTTAAAGTACCCAGGCCTGTTTTTACGCACATAATTAAACGAATAGAGGGTATCTTGTAAGGTGGGGCATAATCGATCATCGCCGGACGGTATTCACCAGCAAAATTCACAAATTCGTATCAAAAGCCATATAAACAGCTTAAACTAATCAAATGAGCTCCTCCGCCGTTAATTGCAAAACTTCACGTATAACAACAAGTACGAAGTCATTCGTCTCAGAAGAGATTGTTTACAATTTTTGTTAGCTAAGCTTGAAAATTACAAAAGAACTGTTTTTCGCTCATAAACGAACTAATAAGATGAGTGGATTCCCCAAATCCCAACGGAATCTACTTTCCTATTTGCTTGAAATATTTTCAATTTAAAGTTTTTTAAATCCTTGCCTCGACAATCAAAAAAAAAAAAAAAAAACCACAAAAAAGTAAAATAAAAAATTTCAGTACGAATGAAGTTGCAGTACCTTAAATATATTTTTCCAATTTAAATATTAAAAAAATTTAATATCTTTGAAAATACTTTGAAAAAGGGACAAATATGTCAACGTCAAATACAGCAAAAGTGCCACGCACCAAAGATCGCCGAAAAACTTCGGCGAAAGATTCAAAGTTTCAAAGCCTTTCAGTTAATCTCGAAACAATCGAGAGCCTTCTGCTCTTATTCGATTCGGAAGAGGAGAATGTGGTAACAAGCGTTTTAAGACATTTAACAGAATTCGTACGTAGAAGTGATAGTAATGTTGATACACTGAGGGAAAAAAATGTCTTAAATGCATTAAAGCGTAAAGAGTTTTATCGTCATTTGGAAAACACGATGATCAAGCGATTGACATTGTGTTTGGCTACCGCCATCATTGAAAGCGCGAGTAAACTGCAAGAATTAGGAAGCGCCGAGAATTTGGAAATAATTGAAATGTGTTTAACGTTTTACGATTATGAGAAGGATGACATCTGCTTAGAATATCTTACAGTGATTATAAATAATTGCGTAGATGATACTCAGGGAGCGAACGTTCTATTAAAAGATGAAGAATTTATTGATAAATTTTTCGAAGTAGTTTCTAATACCAATAATCCAGACACGGAATTACACTCATTCCAGATACTCGAGAAATTTTTATGCACTCTAGGTCAGAATGAGCTGAAAGAGCTTTTTGCGAAACCATCGTTCCCCATTAATCGATTGCTTTGCGATTTGACCTGCGAATTCCTCGAGATACGCATAGCAGCCTTATGCGTTATTGAGCTATTAATCAATGATACAAGCGAGAAAAGTCCTTTCTCTTTAGACAACCCTACTAATCTTGCCCTGGGCCAGTTAACTAAAATGTACTGTGAAAATCTAATGCCGAATCAGTTAGAAAAACTGATTGATGTCTTGGCGGCCGCCATACGTAACGAGCACATGGCTATTTTGTTTTTCGAATTGAATTTATTTGATCGCTTTCTCGCTCATCTAAATGAGGACGAAAACGCGAAAAACAAATGCTATTCATTAATGGTCATAGCTGAAGCAGCCAAATATCCGAGGTATCTAGAACGTTTAGTGCAATATCAAGCAACTGAAAAACTCCTCATTTGCTTGATATATGTGGACTTAGCTGGGACTCATATCTTATTGGGCTTAAATCGCTTAATAAAATCGGCTGATGCAATCAAAAGGATATTAGAAGTATACGATGAAGGTTTAATAGAAAAGCTCTTAAGTAAGTATGGCTTCGGGAACAAGCAAATACTCTTCAACATGTGCGTGTTTGCAGGAATTTTGCCCGACTCTGTTTCGATAAAGCTAAAAGCTCGTGAACAAGCAGCTGAGTTCTTAGGCCAACTTTTAACAGTAGCATATCACAAAACCGCTTCGAAAGTCATGGATCTGCGTCTACCGGATATAATGGCTTATATTTTCGGTCAGCCGTCAGAATGGCAGTCGATAGATTTCTATGCGTCGTTATTAGCGATAATTGAAAGCTTGGCGAGGAATACGGACTATCGTGAACAACTATGCGATTGCGAACCGTTAACCATAAGCATAGCTAAGCTCTTAAAAGTAAGCCCCCAAACTAGGATTTATTATTGGAATTTAACCACTTTTTTTTAGAATTCTTTTAATACTTCGATATTGGTGAGCACTATCTTTCGTACTTTGTGTTGTTTGGTGGACGAGGCGCCAGCACGCAAAGCTTTATTAGCTAATGGCATAACGGCTTCCATTAACCGAGGTCTAAAATCCTTGGCCAATTTGGTTAAAACTTCTGTGACAAATTTTATTATTCAAACCACACGTTTCTACGAATTTATTTGCGCTTACATAGAAAATGGAGTATTGGAGACGTAAGTTTATTACTAACATTTACAGATTCATTTTCTTTTCATCAAGTTTCCTCCCGCAAGTCTTGTTATGCATCAGAAGCACTCTTTCTGTGTACCCACTTGGAATACAGCCATAGAGAGTGTTTTATTTAAGGACCCGACTCTGAAATTTTGCATACGCCATCACTTAGGATTTACCGATGTGACGGTAGGACATGATTTTTATGTGTCTAAAAAGAAATTTGATGATTTCCGTGAGTTAAAAGCAATATTAAAAGATGAGGTCTCCCCATTAGTGCCGATATTGGTCGTCAATTTTAACCGATGTGAAGATGATCCGGATTTTGTAGTTACGATACCACGTCAATCGCTACTTCCTGAGGAGATAGCGACAGGCTCGATCTGCTATTGTCGTCGTCCAGCGGATCCTTTCTTACCGCAATATCTAAAAGAAATTAACGATACTTTCGAACTGTACGGTTTAGCTGCGAATCCATCTAAGATGAAACGCTGCATTGATTTTGACAGCTTAGCGAAGCGAGCAAAAATTATTGCAGAATTAGTGGCACGTAACTTGGGCAATGATTTAAAAATACTCGATTTAAATACTCATGAGGAGTGTTCCCATCACGTAGTCAATTGTCATTTGAGAGCCTTAGCCCGGGAAGCTCATACCACAATTTTACCATTAGGACGCTTACGCAGCGGTTGTCAATTTGAAAGAGCCTTACTTTTCAAGGTATTAGCCGATCAGTTGGGCTTACCCTGCACTTTGCAACGCAGCGTGGATGGACGCATGCTTTTCAACGAGTTGCCGTTGCCTTTAGAAACTGAAGGCGATCATCAGTGCAGCCTAGAAACTTTGCAATTTATGCCCTGGAGTATGCTAAGACCCACTCACGTTATTGATCTTATGTACAACGTAGGCGATATGTATCCCGTGCAAAGTCGTCAAGCTTTGCAGTATTTGAAATTATATTGAAGGCGAGCGCGTGGATTCGACATAATTTTTTTTGTTTGCTAAATTGTCACATTTTATAAAAAATACACGTTTATCAAAAATTTTTATATTTGGCAACCTACGAGACAGGCTTGTATGCGCAAGTGCTAAAAAATTGACATCTCGTAGTTGGCATACGTTAAGAAATTTTGTCTTCAAAAACGGAAAAAGAGCAATTTTTTGTTTGTGAGTGGATAAAAGCTGTGTATGTCATCTTTTAATACATATACGTGCATATATAATATATGTATGTATAAAAGAAATCAGGCTTATATATATAAAATGTCTATCTAATGCGAGTAACTATTTTCTCTTGCGCTTAAGCTTTTGCTTTCAATATGTGGCTGCATTTAAATTTCAAACGGTTGCATAGGGATCTTAACGAGTTGTGTGTGAATTGTATATGAAAGTTAATTGCTACGAAAACTGGGATTTTTGTAGCAGCTTTTGAGACTCATATAAAAAAAATTGGAATTCTTTCCGTTGCCTATAAATTTCGTGTGAGAAATAAGTTTTCAAGTGTTTATCGTAGTTTTACTTTTATTTATGTTTAAGACTTTGGAAAATTATCAAAACGGGATTTATATGCATAAATATTAATAATCTTTTGTTTTAATGAAAAAATGTCTTCTGTTTTAAACAAAACGTTTGCCTGTATTAAGCACCCAAAGACTGATTCATATTGGATTTGTCTTTCGTACACGTATCAAGGCGCATAATTCCGAATTAATTTGCTTCGGGGGCTCTGTCTATTCATCTGTCTTCTGCTTTTTCTTTCTCTTTATGGTCGGTTAAAATCACGATTACTACGCCGGAACTTTATCTAGGTCCGTAAATTTGCTCTGAAATTTTTAGTTTATCCGCTGTACTTCTTACTTCACTTCACTTTCAAGGCAGCATTCCTTTAAAGCTGCAACACTGACTTTAACAGAGAAAATAAAAATTTTAGCGGAAAAATGGCATAAGATTATCGATCAAAATAGAAAAAGTTTTTTTTAAATATTTTTTTTTTAATACATATTCAATTTATATATTTAATTAACAATCTATCCAAAAGTATAATAAGCAAATCTTACGAAAAGGTGAGAAAAGCAATAGAGATATGCAGGTATGATGTTTAAATAAAATTTTTTTTTTCTGGGAAATGTCTTTATTTGCAATCTATTTACAATTAAATATTTATACCACGGCATTAACAATAAGGCAAAGACTTGTAGGTTGATACTTTTCAACTCTTTAAATTTTAAACTGATTGTTCCCTGCAATTGTGCTGAAAGATACTCTTGTATAAAATGCCTTTACTATTTAAATTAAAGGTGAGAGCATTAGTCAACAAAGTCTTCTGGTTTTTCACGTCAAGTTATTGGCGCTTACCTTTCGCAAGATCGTTCCTTGTTAATCTTTTGCCAATGTGCAAGCCAAGATAGATAGTTGTCAGTCAAGACGTTATTGCGACTCGAAAAAAAAAAAATTCTTTCATCACAGGCACTCTTATTTGAACGTAATATGCGAAACTTTTGTCGCCATATATTTGGACATTTCATTTGTTCACGCAAAGCAACACTTTTTTTAGATAAATTTGAACGATAGAAAAATTAAAACATTGTCAGCTACTTCGATATCTGATGTGAAAATTATAGAGATCAGTGAACTTTAAACACTTCCCCGGGGCATTCTACCTTCAATTTCTCACATGCTGGGTCGGTCACATTCAACTTTAACCAGGAAATGTCCGTTTTCTAATAGCGTGAATTAATATAGTAGCAAATACAAGGAGCCGGGCCTGGTACTGGTGCACCAAATTTCATCGTGATGTCTTAAAAATTGTGGCCTGTAAGTAAGGCAAGTAATTAAGAAAACAAAAAAGAAGATGGACGGAAATAAAAAGGTGGAACTATCCCAAGCCATTCTGGGTATTGTATATATCCAGAGCGAAACTTTTAACGCGAATCAGTTTCTTGGTAGAATGTGTTGAAATAACAATTAAAAGAAGCAAGCTGTTGGTTTTCGAAGTAGTAGGTGCGAAGCTTCGTTGCGCTTTGCCGTCATGCTCTACCCAATATATCGAAATATTCCCAACATCTTGAAGTTAACAAAATACTTTACCTTTCATTAAAACGCCAATTTACGTAGCGAACGGTCCCTGCGTTATACGCCTGGCGAGGGTACTCGTCAATGACTACTAATTGGTTAATGGGAAAACGCCACAAACTTTTTCCTTTACATAATTTTTAGTTCCTAGATTGAATCTACTTTCTTGTTTCGGTTGAATACTTTCTATTTACATTTTTTCGAAGCCTTGCATTTTTAATCAAAGAGATGAAAACGAATTTCATTACGCTTAAAGCAATAGTATTTTTAATAAATTTTCATCACCTTAAGCAAAAAAAATAATAAAAATCTTCGAACGAGAAATAAATATGTCAAAGTCGGGGCAAATATTACGCTCCGTTCACACTTATAAAGATCGTCGAAAGTCGAGAGAGGCTAGTTTTCACGGCCTTACCATTAGTCTGGGAACTATTGAAACTCTTGTCCTTCTATTCAATTCGGACGAGGACATTGTTCTGGCAATGGTTTTAAAACATCTAACGGAGTTCGTGCGCAAAAATGAGACGAATATTGAATCGTTGAAAGAAAAGAATGTTTTAAATGCACTGAAGCTTAAGGAGTTTTATCGCGATTCGACGAGCACCACAATCAAGCGTCTGGCTTTATATGTGGCGACTGCAATTATCGAAAGCTCGAACACATTGCAGGAACTGGAAAGCTCCGAGAATTTGGAAATTATCGAATTGTGTTTAAAATTTTATGGCTGTGAAGATGACGATATCTGCTTAGAATACCTTAGCGTGATGTTCAACAGTTGCATAGATGATCCGCAGGGGGCGAAGCTTCTATTAACAGAAGTATTTATTGATAAATTTTTCGACGTAGTTTCCAATACCAATAATCCAGATACGGGATTACATTCGTTTCAAATATTGGAGAAACTATTGTGGATTTTAGGTCTGAACGACTTGAAAGGTTTCTTCGCGAAACCATCATTTCCCATAAATAGGTTGCTTTGTGACTTAACCAATGACTTCATTGAAATACGTATAGCAGCGTTAAATGTTATTGAATTACTGATCACTGATACAAGTGAGACGAATCCTTTTGCTTCCAATGATCGTATTATTCACGCATTGCAACAATTAACTAAAATGTATTGTGAAGACTTAATGCTGACTCATTTTGAAAAACTGATTGATGTCTTGGCAGCCGCGATACGTAACGAGAATATGGCTCTTTTGTTCTTCGAACTGAATTTATTTGATAGCTTTCTTGTGCATCTGAACCAACATATGTTAGCGAAATACAAATGTTACTCATTAATGATAATAGCTGAAGCAGCTAAATATCCGAAATTTCTAGAACGCTTAGTGCAGGCTGAAGCTACCGACAAATTCTTGATTTGTTTAATATACGAAGATTTAGTTGGGCCTCACATCTTATTGGGTTTAAACCGTTTAATCAAGTCTTCTGGTGCACTTAAAAGGATATTGGAAGCTTATGACGAGAATTTATTAGAAAAACTTTTGAGTGCGTATATTGAGTACATCTCACAAAATCAAGGTTCTTTCATTTTTAGATATTTCCAGAAATTTTGACAGATTCTGTTACAATAAAGATAAAGGCTCGGGAACAAGCAGCCGAGTTCTTGGGTCAGCTTTTGACAATAGCTTATCACAAAACCGCTTCGCGTCTAATGGAATTACGAGTACCTGATATAATGGCTACCATTTTCGGACAGCCCTCGGAGTGGCAATCAATAGATTACTATTTGTCCCTGTTATGCATAATTGAAAGTCTGGCCCAAAATGCGGACTACCGTGAAGAATTATGTGCTTGCGAGTCCTTAACCACGAATATCGCCAATCTGCTAATGGTGGGTTCTGCTCGGGTCATTAATAACATCGGATACTTTGGATATGTTTTCAATAATTTTAGTTTCTTTCTAGAATTCGTTCAATACTTTGATCTTGGTGAGCAGTATCTTTCGTACTTTGTGTTGCTTGGTGGATGAAGATGTATCGCGTGAGATTTTATTACATAATTATATTTCGGCTTCCGTTAAGCGAGGTTTAAAGTGCTCGACCACTTTGGTTAAAACTTCTGTTACGAATTTTATTATGCAGACCTCACGTTTTCCGGAATTTGTTTCCGATTATATAGAAAATGGTGTGTTGGAAACGTAAGTTTTTTCGCGTCAGGTTCGTGGATTGATTATATCCTTATTAGATTTTCTCCCATTTTTAAAGCCTTGTTATGCACCAAAAGCATTCGCACAGCGTACCGACTTGGAACACGGCCATAGAAAGCATATTATCTAAAGACCCGACTCTGAAATTTTGTATACGCCATCATTTAGGATTTACTGACACAACGGCTGGACATGATTTTTTTGTATCAAAAAGGAAATTTGACGATTTCCGTGACTTACAAAATATGTTAAAAGATGAAGTCTCTCCCTTAGCACCGATATTAGTAGTCAATTTTAATCGGCCTGAGGACGATCCAAGCTTTTTAATTCAGATACCACGGCAGTCCTTAACTCCTGCCGAAATATTGAAAGGTACTGGTTCATATTGTCGTCGTCCAATGGACACCTTTTTACCGGAATATCTGGAAGAGATTAATGCTATTTTTGAGAAGCAAGGCTTGGCTGTGAATCCTGCTAAAATGAAGCGTTGTATCGATTTCGAAAATGTCGCAAAGCGAGCAAAACTTATTGCGCAATTAGTGTCACAAGTCTTGGGTAATGGTTTGAAAACATTCGATTTAAACAGTGATAAAGAGTGTTCCGATCACATTGTCAAAGCGCATTTGAAAGATTTGGCTCGAGAAACGCATACGACTTTTTTACCGTTAGGACGTCTTCGTAGCGGTTGCCAGTTTGAACGGGCAATACTTTTCAAGGCATTGGCCGATCAAGTTGGCTTGCCATGCACAATGCAAAGCAGTGTGGATGGACGTCTACTATTCAACGAATTGCCATTGCCCTTGGAAATGGAACATGATCCACACTGTAGTCTAGAAAATATGCAATTTACGCCCTGGCGTACGCTAAGGCCCACCCATATTATTGATCTTATGTATAACGTCGGCGATCTCTATCCCGTGCAAAGTCGTCAAGCTTTGCAGTATCTACGACTGTACTAAAACACGGGGGGGTGGATTCTATTTTTTTGCTGAAGATAATTTTTTTTTTTTTATAGCTTACAAGAAATATATATTTTTTGATAAATTTCACATTTGGCAACTCGTACGACGCTCGTGCGCAAAAGCGGAAAAATTGACAATTTGCCTTCTTTTTTTTTTAACCATAATGTAAATAAACACTTTAGCCAGTGAACTTTAGAATATAGCAGAGAAATCATTTACGAAGGGAAAACAAAAAATTTAAAGAAAATGATAAATATGTTCATCTTAAGTATTCTTGCAATAGTTGTGGCTTTAATAAAATTAAACAGTAAGTGACACATACCATGAAGAAATCGTGAAAGATTATTAACAGATTTGTTTGATTGATAAGCTGCTGGCCAATCTCTAACCAATGCCATACACCGTACTCTAGCTGCCCAAGAACGTATCAACGATTTGTGGTGTTACGATTGCAACACCATGGATCAGGGTGATTTATGTGTGGATATATTAAAATTGAATGTGTCGGGATTATTGAAGAAGTGCACCGGCGATGACTTTATATGCATGGTTAGCCAACTTTCTTTTACATCGCCAAAGGACACTTACACATATTTTGCTCTAACAATTTCTAATAGGTAAAGCGATTTTCCTACACCACTAGCACAGAGAATCAGACAAGTGCACCGAAAATGTGGTCTTTAGAGCGTCGATGTACGGGCACCTGTGAATCCGGTTGCATAGTTATTGGAGAACGTACGAAACTATATGCTTGTACTTCCTGCTGCGAATCATCCAAATGCAATGTGGGTAAAGGTTCATCTTCGGCAGTCTTATATTCCCGCATTGAAACTGGTATTGGAACTGTTTTGACCCTATTGGGAGGACTTTTGAATTACTTCACATATCCAAAAATTTACCGATTAGTAAAGATTTTTTATTATTAAACTTATTTTACTTACTATTCTTATGGTTAAAAGTAGTATCAAGTTTTATTTTTGTGGACATTCTATATAAAAATTTTACTTAACTATCGTAACCAGAAAGTTTTTACGTTCGTTAAGAAAAATTTTAATAAAATCACTTTTAATTATATGTAAGGAAAAAGTAACGAAAAAGATTATATTTAAAGTAAAATGATGCGAAAGTAATAAATCGTTTTAAATCCACTGCCCATTATACTAAACTATATTAACTGCGTTTTTGAATTTTTATCAGTTTTGCATTTTTTTTCATGCCCATCATCCTTTGGTGTACTTATTTTGCCAAAACGTTTGCAAACGTTTGCAGTATATATATTCTTGATCATTCATTATCAAATTCTAAATCGATTTAAGCATGTCCGTCTGTGTAATGTCTGTTGTAAATATTTTCCTGGCCCTAAAAATGAAGCTATCGCCTTCAATTTGGCAGAAGCATTGCACGCTCTTGCACGCAGATTGGTATTGCAAATGGGCCGGGTCGGTCGAAGGAGGCGCTCACAGCATCACGTAAACTGTCTCCTCTGTTTTCAAAAGGAAAAAAAATGCTTTTTTACTCATTACTGGTAAACTCAAGCAGATAAATGTTGGTAATGCTGTAGCACCTGTGCAAAAATGGGGAAAATCGGCCACGCCTACCCAATTTTATAGCGTATCAAAGCGCAGAGACAAGTTTCAAAAACCCCACGGAGTTTATGAATTCTTGGCCAGTTTCAAATTCAAAATGTACCTGAACATGTCAACTTGTTCGACTTTTCATCTGTCCGTATGCCCAACTCTGTAGTGTCCCGGTCCCAAAAATGAAGATATCGCCCAAATTTTATGAATAATGTCTCATATTTACTCGAAATCGCGTCACAAGCAATTATGACCCGTTCACCTAATTATGAGCAATCATAACATCTAGCCTGCAATAACTTATACCTTAGTATACCTAAGCACAATAAGCAATTTCTTATGTCATAAATCAAGGGACTTACAGTCAGCCCATTTGCACCTTGGTATAGAACTTTGCAAAGATCATTAAGATGATGATGACGATTACTGTTCGATAAATAAAAACAAGAAAATATACATAAGTAGAGTGTGAAATGCAATAACTAATTGGATCGTCAGCCCAGGGAATGTTGTAATCGTTCAACTATTGTAGATTCACAAAGGCGACTTCTTGGACAGCCGCCGCCGCAAGTCGATCTTACCGTCGACTCGAAGTACGACCATCGCCGCAAACCGCTCCTCCCAAAATGGCATTCGACAAAATTATGACTACGACCACTGTCTTGATTTTGATTGCAGAAGAAGCAACGAGTTATAAACGTGGGCGACCATCATTGGGTTGTGTCCAAAAAAATTACGGAAAATAAACCTAGTCGATCCACGCGTGTGCACTTGTCCTTTAGCATGCACTCGTACATGGAAAGTCGGCCATCAATGTAGGCTTTCGCGGCTAAATTGACATTAGTCCGTTTTTTCACGAGCTTCTTACATTTTCTTTTCTTTACTTCTTTGGACATGATTATCATTATCATCATCATATTTGATCAATTTTTTAATTTTAGAAAAGTTTTGCCCAATGAAGAATTCAAAGTTGGAAAGGTCTTAAAGTACATCGCTAAGAAAACTTGGGAGAGTTATTCCTAAAGAATAAATATCTAATTTGGTTCAGCTGGCTTAGTTCAATGACAGGCTGCGAAATTCCTGGCGAGTGTTAATGTTCATCTTCTTTCGAGATAATAATGACGTCAAAGACCGGAAAGCATGTCTCTATCGCTCACTCTTTAAATATACAAATAAAAATAATTTAGTCATCTTAAATGGCTGCAACAAATAAATCCATACACACACACAAACAACACACAGCCATATACAAAGTAATGAAAGTGTATACAAAAAAATATAATTTTAAATTTACTATTATTCGTGTTGGTGTCGTTGTCGTTGCTATCGTCGTTGTATATGGTTCCAGTTGCTTTTGTGTTATCACTATTATTGCCATGTTATGGCTGTCACCAATATGCTTGCATGCACATAAAATTTCTTTTGACCTGAACACCTGCAAACATACACTTTTAGATCTTTGCATGTATGATGTTAACGCATCCGTTTATATATAAACTTTGATAAATCAAAATGAAAATTGTTAATTTGAAATCAAAGCTAATTTATAAAGCAATTCATGCATACGACAATAAATGGATAAGTATATGTTAGTACCTATATGCAAAAGACAGCACATATTATACATAGGTAAGAATAAAGTCATGAACACATAAATAGCACACGACTTTCACGCAGAAATAATCGAAAAAAGGGATTTATTAAAATACTTGAAAAAAAAAGTGTGAAAAACAATTTTTAACCTGCGCTCCCTCGTTTAACGGATTTATTCACGTGGCGCCTTCTCCGAGTAAGATGTTTTCTGGGATGAGGTCGAAAAGCTGGTTCGATCCGAACCATGTTCAATAGAGTTCGGCCTTGGGCCGAAATATGTCGTTGCGATCTGCAAGTTGAATACAAGAAAACAAAACGGACAGAGGGACAGCCAGACTTAGATCGTTTCAGCAAGTGATCGTGAATAATCGATGGGCTTATCCCAAATTCTGCTACGTTTTGCATAGACCCTCGCAAACTTAATATACTGCAAATGAGGCAGAGTGTAAAAATACAATTGACCAAAAAGGCGTAAATATTTCATTTCAATTTTGCAATGTAAAAATGGTGCAGGGTATGACAACGTTCAGGTATGAATAAATGACTGAGAAAATTGAATTGTATAAGAAAAACAGTCTTAAAAGCATGAAAATTCTTTGGGTATGAATAGACAGCAAAAATGGAAAACAATAGACATAATTTTAACTTTTGCTTTAATGGCTTTGTCCACTAAATTAATTATTAGTTTGGTTAGAAGACTACTTAGCTGCTTCCTTAAGAAAAAGAAATTATTATTAATTGATCAAGGCTTGTTCGTCCGCCAGTCCGCCTCGTGTGTTTGGACGAAATTTGGTGCACCCAAGTGTTTCGAGCCAAAGATGAACCCTATTGAAAACGGTTGTTATTGGACCACATTTCCGATCAATTTCCCTATAACGTCTCGTATTAAATAACTACAGGGCGAATGGCAGGCTGTGACTTGCTTTGATTTACTTATGTTTTGAAATCTTTAGATAAAAATTCATATTTACTCTAACGGTGAAGAAGTGTAAACCATTTATACGTCTATGGCTTTATGCATTCATTATTATTTCTTTCTACATGGTTTATTGGTTATTGCGGTGAGTTTTTATTTAACTCGTATAATGCATGCATGCATGTATTCGAAAACGTTCATATTCTTTCAGTGCAATAACTAATGACAATAACGTACATATATAACAAAGCCATCAAAAGGTGTTGCAAGAACCTCAAGGATGGTGTGACAATATTCTAACAAGCAGACGATTCACAAACTTATAAACCAAAACACAACGGCAGTGATATGCTACAAAGCACACAAACAATCACGGCAGCAATAGAATAAATTCAGAAAATTCATTTCATTCCAAGTTTTGGTTTATTTATTTATTTATTTATTTATTTATATATTTATATTCTTTCTTCGTTTTAAAGGTTCACAACGAATACGATAAAAGCCAAGATGTATATAGATGTGCATGTATGTGTGTGTACATCAGACTAAATTTATTCTTCCCTCTCTTTAGAGTAGAAACTAAAGAAATAATTAAAATAAATACAATTTTTAATATGCCATCGGTTATATAAGTGTTGTTGTCTTTAATAAATTGCATATTTTTCCTGTGTCGAATACATGCGCAATTTCTTCTATGAGAGCTTGCGTATAGCAAGCAAATACAATTTAATATATATTGGGTTTAAGCCGACTAGATTGTGCATTTCAAAAGAAATCTCGTTTTTTCGACTTGGCCCAACTCCATGAAATCATGGATATTAGTTACTATACACATGAAGTGGAACGTAAGGTCGCGAAACATGTGCTTTTCGTCGGATCGAAATAAGAAGAAGAACAACTGAGGTTGGTAGATAGAAAGTTCGCTCTTCTTCTAACTGTTTCCGAGCTTACAGAACCGAATGTTCTTGCCTTGCAAAGCCGGAGAAGCTAGGCGGAGACTTGTAAATAATACCGAAAAGACTGTTTGCACTATGAGAACTAATGCTCAAAAGAGCCATAAAATACCATATACTTATGATAACCGCTAAGTGATCTAAATCCAAATGATTTTAACACTATCCGTCTATTGGTTCGATCTATTGTTGAGAGGCGGGCTATGTTGCTATCCTTGAGGAAATTGCTTAGTTCCTAAATAAAGATTGTGATGAAAAAGGTCTGTGATCCATTTACAGATAAGACCACAAGATATATTACAATTTTCTTGTTAGAAGAGTTAGTGGTTCTATGGCTGTCTGTCAGTTTCAATCCGCCTATGGTGAATAGAAATTTATTTTAACTGTTCCTACTGATTGTGTAGAAACAATATAGATTGACATAGACATGGGTTGAATTTCTTTCCTTATTTCGGTATCTCGGGCAACTATTAAAGTTTGCCTTCTTTTCTGAATCATTATCAAAAATATTTTCAGATATGCAGTTCACCCCAGTTCTTTTATATCGCTTAGGAACTATGACTGAACCTTTGGATTAGATTCAAATCAAAAGTCCAAAGCGATTTGTCGATTGCTATTCCGTTTCATAGAATTTCGAGTCTTTTTGTTTTTTTTTTTTTGTAGTTTAAAAAATAGTTCTTCACTACAAATTCTTAGAAATGGTTCAGAGAAATTAATTTAAACTTGTCCTACTTTGCTTTGGTGGTCATAAAAAAGCGCATGCACATATATCCCAACACGTTTATGTGGACGTGCCTTAGTTAAAATGGTTAGAAATTTAAATGAAATTGAATGAAAACAAAATCTTATGCACACACTTATAACGAGACATTTTGTTATTTGTATGCACACAAAGATATTTAAAATCTTTGGAAAATGCTCGGAACAATTGAATAAAATGTGCATTCAATGAATGAGTCAATCAATAACCAACATACATATAAAAATGTTTTATATACGT